CGGGAACCGCGCCGCCGCCACAAAACGCGGGTAGCCGTCACTTGACACGCCAGGCGCAAAAAAAGAATCTTTCACTAGGTGAATGCAGCTGAAAGAACCAAGCTTCCAGGCGCACAATCCCTTTCCCTAACGTCCTTGAACTCAGTGAGAGGTAGCGCAGCTTTCCCTAGCTCTTCCCACCGTTAGATCCTCAGAGCATCAGCTACACCAGCCTTCTTCAACCTTTTGCGAGCCCTCCCCCCTCGCTCTGGAGAGCAGCTTTCATGAAAAGAATTCAGCTCTGCTGCGAACCAGGTAAGCCAATTTGTAAATGCAACTTACCATGCCAAAGAACAGCTGCTGCTTTTTTTCTTTCAAAGGTGAATCAGAAAATTCTAGATTTAAAAAAAAAAAAAATTCAGGAGTGGGTATAATTTTATTTGTCCTCAGGGGGGAAAAAAAAAAAAAAAAAAAAAGGAGATAAAATAGTTACAAATAAAGGAACTTTAATTTGCAGGTAATACAGAACAGTCCAGTCAGTGGCAGAACACCACAGTATTTACAGAACACAGCAGCAGCGCCAAGTGGCAACAAATGCGAGATCGTTATCCTACAGCTGGAAAGTCGCTGAAGTCTGTGACATTCCACTGTAAATATAAGTGTTATTAAAAATGACAAACTGCCCTGTAATGACTTTGATAACCTCCTGTGCAGCAGCTCCTGTAAAAGAAGAAAAAAAAAAACAAAAACCAAACCAACAGTTAGCAGGTCATATTTAAAAACCAGTAGAAGAATGTAATTTATCTAGAACTCACTACACTGGAATTATTTCAGAAGCACCTGATACAACTCCTAGGAGGAAAAAAAAAAAGTGCCTTTCAGTACTTCCCAGCATAAGAGGCTCAGAAAGCTGTTACTTCAAAAGTTAGCTTTACATACACTTTGCTATATATACTCACTCACTCTCTCCATGTACATACACACAGAATAAAAATGTGTGAGCAGACAGACCCATGCAAGTTGTGGCCTCTCTAAATGAAATTGAGAAATTCAATTAAAAAAAAAATCATCTGCAGTTAAACTGTAAAATAAATTGAAGGGTCACTTCACTGTGATCCCTTTGTGTTCTCCTGTAGGACGAAATACTCTGTAATTTCTTCAGAAGTTATCTTTATGTATTTTTCTAAGCACTGCACGTACCAAATTCCACTTAATCAGAAAAAAATTCCTACATCCACAGAGTATTTAATACATAATTATCTTCACCACCGCATGAAGCCAAATAAAGAAGTTAACAGATACATCAATTTTGAGCATCTATTAAAACATATTTAGTTTTGATAATCCCCACAGGTTAAATTAAGGTAAGAAATCAAGGCTACTTATATTTAATAGATACTCAACATAAGTGTATTGTGTTAAAGGAAGATGTGTACTGTGTTAATTTTAGTATTAGTACAATTATTCCTTTCCTTTTTTTAATCTCAAAGCTTCTTTCAAGCATTTTATTTTTAAACACATTTTAAGCCACTAGAATTGATCTACTGAGATTATTTTTTAAGTTTATTTGGGTTTTTTTACTGACTTTAAACCCTTGCTGTGTCCACTTTTTCTATGTACCATAGGAAGCCACATCTGGAGAATGAAGGGGGAGGATTTTCTTCTCATACTACTTTTGACTCCAGTCTGTGATTACAGTCTTTGTTCTGACAATACAAAGTAATTAAACCACTGGAGACTCTGAGTCAAGTATGTACTACAGCAGGTTGGTTGGTTTGTGTGGACCTCAGAAAGAGCGTGACATTCTTACCTCCCATGAAGGCAGCAATAGCATGTGGCTCAGCAGCTCCGTAGCGACAACTGGACAGCAAAGTAACAGTTAGTATTTTCAGGTCAGTTTTACCAACAAAGTGACACTTAAGATATAATACTTACAACTCATGAACATAGTCATCTTTCACCACTACAGACAACCCATGTTCTTGTAAGAAACCACTAAGGCATGATTTTAGTTTTCCAATATCATCTTCTACCTGATAGTTGTAGACACCTGGAAAATAAGTTAACTGTTTCACCACAGAAGTGTAACACCATATTCAAAGTTAATGGGTTTAAATGGCAGCATAAGTATTTTATTTTTCTGAAAAGTTTCTAAGATGATTAATATATTATTAATGCTAGACTAATAATAATTGAATATTCTGTTCATGCTACTCATGATAAATCACCGCATAGCTGAACCGATTCATAATACATGCAACCCATTTCAGTGGTATCATTTCAGATAAATTCCTTAAAGTTCCCAAAGAGAAAAAAGTCTCACTTTAATTTCCACATTCTTAAAGTTATATTAATACGGAAAAAAACCTGCAACTAATGCTGTATTTGTAGCTTATAGCTACCATTATAGTAACTATTGGATCCTTGTATTTCTTTTGATGACATGAAGTAACTCTGGTATTAACATACCTGGGTATCTACCATGCTGCTTATAAAATCTATCTACAGCCCGCAGCATCAAGTACAGCACTAGTTCACTCTCTGGGTTATCCATATGGGAAACTGAAAACAGCAAGAGAACTGGTTAGCTGGTACAGATGAAATGGACAAAGAAAGGTTTTGAATTACTTGAAATCAAGTATTTCCCATGTGCTTAAACCATAAAGTCTGCAGTAAAAAGAAATCTTAATGAAAATAACAACCTGCAACTGAGAATCTCACCTGTCAGATACATGATTTTGAATCCAGAGTGTATGACAAAACCACCCTGTATGTATTTGATATAAACTGTTCAGTGAAGATATTCATGTTTCAACTCTTGACAGCTGCTATAACATTCAACGGAATGTTCCTTAGTTATAATTTTGGGATTTGAAACACATGCTTCATATTTAACTGTAATGACTGTAATTATAAAACAGGTCTTAAATCCCACAGCTCAGTAGTCTTTCTAAATACTAACTACTATTTAAATCACATTGCACATTAGCAACTAATTCAAGGAGCTTTCACTTACATTATAAATATTACAAAACGTATGTATACACAAAATGTATACACATTTTGTCCAAAACATTCAGAGGACTTGTTTAAGCTTAATTTCAACAAACTTTGATAAAAAGTATTTCCAGCTTTTTTTTCTTTTTTTAATTTATGCAGGTTCAGAAGATAAAATGCAATATTAAGTAACTTGTTTGCTAGTTCACATACTGAAAAGATGAGTGGGGCCAAGACAGTTATTCTCCTATCTTTGGTCAGGTGATAGCACCTTTCCAGCTCTGTCAGAAATAACTGAGGTACAGAAAAGAGAATTTTGAAGAAACCAATGTTTTATTTATGTGCTATCAAAAATAAAATCTGCAAGAAAAAAAAACTGAAACATGCATCAGTCTGTAAGGTCATTTTTGAACTCTCAAGATCAAACTGAATTCAACATTCTAGACTTAAAAACCCCATACTTCTAGTTGATGCCAAATTATAAAACTGCATAATGAAACAGAATGTGTAACATACAATTCTTTCTGATCACAAAACCATTTCAAGTTGAAAATGCAATTTAAGTATGTGCCAAAAAGGAGCACTTACTGATTTCGTCCTTGTTAAAGGTGTTTAAACCGTATTCTTCAGACAGAGATCTACATCGGACTACTCGGAGAAAAGCTGAGTTGCTGCCTAAGCAGAGGGCGCAGAAAGGAGAGCGTTACCTACTTGAATGCGTCACCAATTACTAAATCTTTGTAGGTCTGTATCTCTGATGTGTTAAAGACCAAAACTTATCAAAACTTCATTTAACACTTTCTGTTTCTTCCCGTAGCTTGCACTAATAAAAATCTATGAAACTACATTTAGGTCTATGATCACAAGTATTTCAGAGAAATACTTCATGCTTATTTACTTGTAGAATCTAAACGTATCTGCCATGTTAATGTAACACCTCACAACATGTGTAGCTCTTCTATAGAACAGCTTCATGTCTTCCTCTTCCATGCTGCAAACGAAGATGGGTTCTTTTCATCTTCCACTACATCTACCGCTGTCTCACACATTCTCAGTTAGTATTCTAACAGTACAGCTATGAGCAGGAAAAGGTTCTTCTCCAGTGTCACTGCTATGAAACAACCCAATGTGCAGCTACTACCTAGCCCTCAAAACTGAGGAACTGTGAGGTTCTCAAAACTCCCAGCAAATGACACACCAACGCAGGGGCAGCACGCTCTTGGCTATGTGCTTACAGGAAAATTTTCCAGTTGCAGGCAGACTTAGCCAGGCTGCTGCGTGGACACGTATACATATCCAGAACAGACATAACCTAAAATGCCATCAACAGTACTACTCACTGCATCACTGTTTTACCTTTTCAGACTACCAGAAGTTTACATAGCCTGTGCTCTGAAGTCAGTATCACAGAATGGGCAAGAGTGATTAAGTACTAATCACAGAAAGTAGAGGGCATCTGCTACCTGTTGTTTGGACCTGAAAAAAATATCCTATCTTTTAAAAGCCAACCTTTACAGACTCACTACTGAGAGATGCTGAACATCTGTTACTTCCACTGAAGATGAGGGATGCAACTAATGCTAAGCATTTCTTTGAAAAATTCAAATATTGAGTTACTGATTAATAACTACATTATCATTCAGAAGTTTTTGATTATTTGATCATTTGCATAAACACAACTTGATCATTTGCATAAACACAACAACAGAATCCAAGCATACTCACAAAGCAATTTTAGTTCTCTCTCCGAAATAGATTCGGGTGCCTAAAAGAGAGAATATATTCATTCCAATACATACAATGACCAGAGAATTTCTATTTTCAGAGATATTCATATATTCATTGTGAAATAACTAGTCATTTTTGTAAAAAAAAAAAAAATCTTAAATTATAAATAATATATATATCCCCATATGCCTTTTACTTTTTGTATGACCAAACCAGAAGTGATAAATAAAACAGACCACAGATATTAAATTTCATTAGAACTTACTTAAGCCTTTTGAAGAGAATGAGGTAATTAAGCCTTCTCTTTTTATATCTGTCTCCTGTGACTTATTTCTGTACAGAATGTCAGGGTAAAAGTATTTCTATCCTGTCAGAATGGCCATACATTTGTAATTACCTTGCCTAGGGACTGTAACAATTTAGCAGCATGGTTACCCACAGCAGCAATATCCTTCTTTGCTTTTTCACGGTATCTGTTAATAATAAACAAGTCTTAATAATTACAGCATAAAGCCATCAGTTTCACGGTGAAGACCTTTTCTTTTTGTTTTATAATATAAGACAAAATACAAGCCACATGAATGGAAGCAAGCTACCTCAAGGCCATGAATGCACTTATTACCACCCTGTACGACTGTTCGGCATGGCTGAGCTGTTCACTAAACGTGTGGCTTAGAAACCGGTTAAAATTAAAATGAGTATTACTACAAACAGTCAGAGGAAGAGTATCAAGTAGTTTCAGAACAACAGCTATATGTCCTTCATTGGGTTTCTAATATTTCATTATTTTCTGTATTTTAGTATTTGTAGACATAGTATATTAGTTCCATTAAGACCTATGACAACGCAAACATCTCAACAACACAGTATTTAATACAATTCAATTTAAGGGCTCATTTTAAGGAACTGTAATTGTTTCACCTGCGAATTAAAACCCTGTAATGCTTATTGGAATTGAGAACCGAAGTACATAATGATGTGGAAATTCAGGACTGATGCTTATAGAATTCAGATTTACAAATAAGGGTATCTGTGCAAATTCAGGCAATTATGGTTTCATTTAGCAAAATAACGATACAAGTTCTCGGCTTTACTGTCATCATACACAGTAACTTCCATAAAGCAACAGCAATCAAGTATTTTAGACACGTAACAGATTTATATTTTTACATCCATCTTTTTAATGCTATTTGTCACAGTTCTGAGGAATGCACCTCTAAAATAACAGATTTCATTTTGATTAGTAGACTCTACTAAGGCACACAATCCTTTTTCTAGTAGAGGTTGTGTTTCAGAATCTATGGAGAAACAATGAAAATCTGTTAGAAATACTACTTTCCTATTTGAACAATTCAACAGTACAATTGCACAGACAGTAAATTTAACAAAGTCTTCTGTAAGATACTGCTTCATTTTTAAAGACTGAAAAAAGGAGGAAGAAGCAGCCAACTGCAAATAAATGTGGTAACACTGTAAGAAAGTCTTTCTGGCCCAGCAATTTGCATCACGTCCACAACACATACGAATAGTAAGTTCAGGTTGAGGATACATGCATTCAAAGATGGCCTTCCTAAAAACTTGATCCACACTGACGCTGTTCAGAATTTGTGGGTAATGCTCATTCACGCGCTTCCTTATCTACCAAGCAATCCCTTCAAAGGGCATTAATTAGAATTAAGTATGTAGAATTAAGTATCTAGGAAACTAGAATTGCTGTAGCCAGGTTGACATACACATTGAGGAGAAAAAACAAAGGCTGTGTTTAAGCAACAATTTACTTTGGACAAGTAGCTAGGCTATGGGACCTACTCTCTATAGGAAGGTCTTTACTAGATCTGAAACTAAGACAAGTGACAACTTACTACCCACCCTTAGGAAACTGGGATGCACTGAGGGCTTAGGCCCTGGTTCCAAACGGCAGGTAGCATCTACACTGGGAGCAGACAGCCCCAGGCCGCCGTGCTTCCCACACCCCTCCTCACCCTGGTCCATACACTTTTTTTTTTAATGCAGGAATTCATGCACTTTGTGAGGTCTGAAGTCATCACCATGTACTACCATGAGTAACTATCAAAGAAAAGAATTGTATACTTACACATTTTGCAATTTGATAAATTTATTGGAGTCTGCTATCATATCAGGAATAGTGCCACGGACAGGCAAGCTTCCTTGCCCCTCATTTGCCACAAATTCCTTTACAGCTCGAGCCAAAATCCAGAAGGAGGGTGACTGCAAACACACAAGAGACAGTCATGTACACAATGTTATTTATGATGCTTTTTCTACATTTAAGTCTTACTCTTAATTACTCATTACCTGCTCTGTGAGATTTATGCAGCAATCATCGTTAAAAATCTCTTCAATGCATCTTGGAATCTATGAAAAAAATAAATTGGGTTTGTATTCACTTGGCTTTTGATTTCTTGAATTATCTCAACACTCATTACACAGGTGATCCAACTGCAAGCAACCTCAGTTTCATAACAAAACCTCTTCTGAATCTTACACAGACAGTGCTTCTCAGACACATTTCAAAGAGTAGCACTGCCTGAGAACAAGGCATATGCTTCTGATCAAGATGAATGTTACAAACAAAACCTCACCTTATTTCCACCTTCTACATGGAAGATTTAAAAAAAAACCTGGTAGCAGCATCATCAAAAGGTACTACCAGCCCCAGCTGCCCATCCTACCTGCTAGATGCAGAGCAGCAAAAAGGCCGGGGAAGTGAAGAGGGGCTGCAAAAGTGAGAGTGTTTTGACTCCTTAACTGCTGCAGTTCAGTCTGGCGTACAAACTGAAATTAATCAGTAATAGCCTGGGACCCGGCTTGTAGTGGCTCAGATGTCAGTACCAAGTTCTACCTGTTGCTTTCTTGGCAGATTTAGAGTGACTGTCCAAGCAAGGATCAGCACAGTTCAAATAAAAATGGAATGTAATCTGGAAAGAATCACAGAATGAGCTTTTACCTCATGTAGCTTTTGCTATTTACCATGGATGGGAGATTACGGAAATCAGAGGTCAATTCTAAGCCATGAGTTACTACTTCAGGATTATTTAAAAACAACAAAAACTTCACTTTTAATGTTTTTAAGCTTGATCAGTTTATGAAAGGAATTTCATAACATGTTTTTGTTATGAAATTCAAACATAAATTTGCAGAGTCAAAGGTCCCTTGCAGCTCTTCACTTCTATACAGAACAAATACTACAGCAAGCGGCTTCAACATAGCGCAATTTCAACAAATGCTTTCTGAGTCTCACTCCTGCCAATGTATTTAAATCAAACATCACCCACACCAGTTACTGCTAATTCTTTACAATCATACCAAGCACTCCACAGTTTAATCTGTAGAAGAAAATCTTATGAAGTCTAAGATAGGAATACACTGCTACTAAACTCTGGTTACTGACTCATTCTATACTTGAATTCAAGTCTTCAGGAAGGAAATGTAATTTCCTTGCATGAGCAAGGAAGCAAGAGAACTTCCATATGTTACAGTGCCACCTAGTCTAGGTCTATTTTACTGCACAATTTCAATTTTTAAAATTGTACAAATCCTGTTTTACTTAAATATAAGTGTTGCAAATGGAACTCCTGTCCTGAAAGTGCATAATGTTCTGAAAAAAATGAGGTAGTTGAAATTTCTTCAATTTTGTCATATAAATGTTTATTTTACCTCTGTGGTATTTAATGCTGTGTTCACATTTTTTATAGCTTCTTCAAAGTTTTCCTCATCTTCTGGGGTCCCATTTTCATTTTTTAAGATACCTTATTGAAAAAAAAAAAATAAAGATACACAATCCCCTGAATTACATCTCATCATTTAGGTCTTACCAAAAAAGCAGACAGGCTTTGGGTGTATTTGTGGCATAACAACTAAACTGCAAAAAATGGAATTACCTGTAAGATGTACTGATAAAACTAACTACATACACATTCTGCATATGATTAGTTTTCCTGTGACGTTACATAGAAGTTGTTTATCACAAAAATACCAGTTTATTTGTGTGAGAAAGAGAGTAAAGTTTCATAATCACTAAACTAATGTAGATGGTGGTAAAAAGGCAATTCGACTCTCCTTCCCATCCCCAGTCATGTTGTGTTGGGGCTTTTTTTTTGTCAAATTTGGCAAACACTTATGAACCCACACAGCAAGCCAGACCAAGAAATGAACTCCACTAAAAACCTAATTAACCAAAGGTAATTACTACGGATCAGATCAGTTCCCTAGCCCAACCTGGGGATAAGGATGACAGAACCACTCAGCAATTTGCACATAGGCCAGCTTTAAATGAGGGAATACCAAAAATTCAGTTAATGTTTTTATTCTACAATCATTTAAGACAATGTATTTCTAGATCTTAAAAATGCTTCATTAATTTTAGTACCCACAAAAGCTATTAGATTCAAACACCTGCAAAAATGAAGTCTGTTCACCGACAGGTTACAGAGTATTCAGTCGCTACATAATCTTTGTCTAGACTAGTTATTTAGAGCTGCAATGATTACCAACAGTCTGGTGGGTCAACTGACCAACCAAATACTTGCAGTTAATAACAATTTCAGTGTCAAAAGCCACTTCCTTTCCTCTTCGTCATGTCTTCCATGTTAAATGCCAACATTTTCTACAGGATTTTCTCTTAATGCCTCTCCTCCCACCCAAATCAAAACATACTCTTGATCTTAAACAGCAAACAGTAAGAAACACTGCCAAACTGCATTTATAAGTGAATCTGGGATCCTAAGATCCACTTGTATAAAAAAATCATTTAGCAGAAGTATCATATTGCATATGCCAGCAGATTTTCATAAATTAACCCCGAGAGAATTCTGATTTTTTTCAGATATTGCCTTATATATTTATGCCTCTATGCATAAGTGACTTCTAGGACATATATTACCTTGCCGAATCAGTTGTCTGAAGGCTTCTTTTTCTTTGTAACTCTTAGGCAACTGATCACTTTTCTAAATTTAAAAACACAAAAACATTTTGTCTTTAAAATATCTACTACTAACCTCATTGTGTTCAGACTGCTGAACTCTATAGAGTTTGTCATTATTCACATACATTCACTTGTATTTCAATTAGTAATTTTTTTATGATTCCACGTTGTTTTATTTGTTACATGTTGCCAAAATAATAATCTAGTTTAGAAAAGACGTATCTAAAGTAATAATAATAGACAGATGACATCCAGTTTTGCAATATACCTCGTTGAACCATTTTGTTAGATACTTGGCTACAATCACAATCCATGGAGTGTGGCTATGGTCCTGTAATTGAACAGCAGAGAAATCTTTGTCAAGTTGAGAAAAGATAAAAATACTAGACAAACTGAAAACCTATTTTAAATGTAAACTCCTAACATCCCTTCCACTCTTGTAAAAACTCAGGACATGTTCCAGATTTTGATTCAGAAATAACATTCTCTAACTACTATAACACAAATTACTAAATTATTATTCCTTTACTTAAAAGAAGAGTGGCTGAGCCAAGTTCTCCAACATTCTTCTGGAGTAGAACTTATGTTATGCACAAATACCCACATTGCAAAGCTCTGCAGCAGTAGGTAATCATAAAAGTAATAAAAAAAGGGGGTGAGGGGGCAATCACTCTAAGAAAAGATGAAGTTGTCCAACAATATTCCTCACTTCCAAGACCCCCACTTGCTTAAGATTTAAATACAGACTGTAACATTTGGGGCAGAGGCCAAAAATAGTACCTCGTGACTGATTCTACAGTTGCCTCTGCTCAGATGAGACTCAGCACCAAAAAAAGGTCACCTGCCAAGAGTCACTTTCATAGAATCCCTGTTCCATGTCTGCATCTGTCTTAGAGCACAAAGTGCAAACCACACACCAACCTTTTTGTCCATATGATCCAAGTCATAAGACTGAATGTGCTCCCTCAGCTCTGGAAATGGTTTGTCCAGTCTCAGATCTTCTAATGTATTGTCAGGATGAGATTCAACAACTGGGGGGGGAGGGGGGGGGGGGAAAAAAATAATAAAAAAAAAAGAAAATCACACAATGCATTACACAGTTTTATGTCTAGCCTTCAAAAAAGAGCTATTTAAATACAGTGCATCATCTGCTCATTTAACTGCTTGACTCTCAAAGTAAGTGTTTTGTGTAAGTTAACTTTAATGTCAGGATAATCTCCAATGTTACTACTTGTTGCAGTCCAAAACTTCTATGTATTCCTCAAAGAATACTCCCGGTGATGAACTGCAAACTACGTAAGACTTAACAAATACTACATACATCACAAGATAAAGATGAGGGGTGGGAAATCAAAGCGACATTACATATTGAAGCTCTAAGCCTTTTAGAAAAGACTTTATCTCAGAAAACCCTCTAACCTGTATGTTCTTTAATAATGACTCTCATATAACCAACCAATCCATAAGTCCTGCAGACCAGCAGAGGAATGTTAGAACTCCAGAGAAGTTCAGCCAAGCGCAGCAACGTACTGTAAGGAAAAGATTTTTTTTTTTTTCCCAGATGTACAAGAGGACAACAGTTAACTATAAAGTTAACTCTTACACAAGTCACTTGTGAAAGAAGTTTTCTATGAGAGAACTCTAATATTACCATGATTCTAAGCACATATAAAGTGATTAATTTTATATGTGAACTTACACTAGGTTAGAAATACATTTATCCATTAGCTTACTTATATTTAACTCCACTCTCCAAATATCAATTAAACAAAAAACGTCAATGAGTTGTGAAAGAAAGAAAAAAAAAAGAATTAGATCTGTGTTGCACAAACATAACTTCCAGTAGGGGCAATTCCAATCAGAGGTTTTTGAATAGCACATAAGAAATACTCTTTATTCACGAATGCCTGCAAGGGAGTCACACCATCCAAGATGCAAGCTGGCTCTCATTTCTGTAAGAGACAGTATCTCTAGCTCTCTGTTAGCAGGGGGACTGAGAAATATGTAGAGTATGAACAGCCACTTCCTTACAAAAGCAAGATTTAACTATTCATCTATCCAGCAACCTCTTGCCTCTGTGGAGGCAGCTTGCCTCCTGAAACAGAAGCACGCTCTTCTCCCCCAAGTTTCTCAATACCCTGAGAGTTCTCATTCTTCACCTGTACTGTTTACTGGAAGGCAGCATGGGAGAGGCCTCTCAGCAGGAAGAGGTTAAAAAAAATAAAATAAATCAAGAACTTTTGGTCTTGACAAAGTTTATATGGGCAATATAATTACATACATGGGTAAAAGGGAAAGACCTATACAAATGATAAAAAACATTTGCAAAAATCTAAAGGTATCACAGCTCCTATCATCTGTTAGGTTTCACATAAGAATACTTGTTACAGCAATTCTGGACCAGAAACAACTATCACTATAAAAAGAGTACTTGACATAAACAAAACCACCTGGAGACAGCACCTAGGAGTCAGGCATGGACCTGAAAGACATTTTAGACTATATATTAACATATAAAAATGCCATCATTTACTGTAACTTTACTTCACAATGACAGAGTTCTGTTTTGCGTAAGTTTCCCTGCAAGAATATGCATGCAATTGTTTTCATTCAGTTGTAAAAGCAGGTTTCAAACAAACAACTTTAGATGATTCTTTACCTTTCTGGTAGTTGTGTTGCAACCACCACGTTAAAACGATTAAAAAAGGAAGGGTCACTGTCTAGAAGTTTTTCTGGACTCTAAATAGTAGGGGAAAAAAAAAAAAGTCAGGAAACACTGAAAATTTCCGAATACATAGCAAGTCTGTTGAACATTCAATGTAAAGTGTTAAGTGAAAGCTCTAAAATTATCCTGAAGTTATAAAAGAATATTTAAAATACATAAATTGACCTTTTGCAAATAACTTAAGATCTTCTTCCTCAAATGTTTTTACCATGAAGCTACTTAAACTGCAACATTACAAAGACAACACATAGCTATTCTTTCACACTTTCATCACATTGTGTAACAAGAAATGTACAACTAATGTAAGAAAACAAACCTCTTCGACAAAGTTTCCAGAAACGTCACTATTCAATTCTTGCAGGAGCTCAGTGGCACTTTGGGCACGATTCTGTTTCAGAACAATCAAAACAAAGCTTAATCTCTTAAAATGTAATTTATATAGTATATCAGCACTACATATGCTACACTAAAAAAAACCACAACCCAACCTCATCATAAGCTAGGATTTCTTATTCTAAGCCTTGCTTATCTGAAGAAAAAGATAAATCCCTTAACAGCAGGCACTTATTTGAGACCATTTTTAGTAATATAATTTTAAAAACAAAAATTATGTGACAGCTCTATTAATTTCCAGGAGTTACCTATGCCTTCTGTACTCTCCTGTTTTTGTGATTTTTTTTATTTTCTTCTCCCCCATCCACCTCTCTACTCTTAGCTTTACTCCTTCACCCACAATTCTCTTCCACCTTATCCTTCCAAACATTTTCTTAACCATATCCTGTTCATTTTTGCCATTCAATCTTGCCAGAATTGAGCTTATCTTCTCACTTGTGAGCAACTAAAAAGTAAGCATGGGGAATTCTGTCAAAGAATAAATAGATTTTAAACTATACATACATGTTTTTAGCATTACTCATACTACTACATTTGAGTATTTACTCAATACTTTCATGCTTCCAATATACCTACGGTGACATTTGTTATCTCCTTACCTGACCAATATGGCTTTTCTGTAGGAAGAAACTGAAAAGGAGACAAGAAAAAGTTATATGTGAAGTTTTATTTTGAAGAAAAACAACATTAAAGCTATATTTTGCAGTGCAGAATACATTGCTGACTCTCATACACAACAAACCAAGTTCCCCGCTAAATCTCATTTTCTTCTCCCCACCACTGTACTATTTTCGTCATTATTAGCTTCTTAAGGAAACTTTCCAATGCCTGAGCCAGAAATGTGAAAAATAAGCCATGCCAAATTCCTCTAGAAGCCAGAATCATACTGCAGAGTCTTTTTCACTAGGCTAATTAAAGACCAGTTAGTACTCATTTCTTCATGTAATGGAATATCCTTCCCCCACATATAACCCCTATAAGTAGACAGGTATTTGTAGGTATCTACTTGAACCATAAGAGAATGTGATCTAGAATTAGTAACCAAATTATTTTTTACAGGATTTGTAAAGAGTTTCTTATCCCTTCCCCTGCTGCACACAGCCTTTCAAAGCTATGAAAGCTAATAAATGGCTATCAGTCACGGTTTCACAATGATAAACTAATGAAAAGTTATTTTCATCACCAAAATTGTGGAAAATACATTTAGCCACGCTGAAACACAACCAAATCTTCCGTTGTCCTATCTCAAGATTACCACAAACAATTTATTTTTAAGTATTTTTATATTGAATAGACCATTGTCTTTATAAACTCGATCCCTGAAGCAAACAGACCTATAAGGCAGAAAAACAGCAACTACAAAAACTATGCAAAATTTAGCAGCTAATATTGAAATGATCGTGCAATGCTGTATATGTCAAACATCCAAAACCATTAAGGACCTGGAGAAACATATAGAGGCTTTAAAAATTATTAAGAATTTTATAGGATTTCTCAACAAGTATAGAGATGGAACCATTTATGAAACCCTGTTACTTCTCAATCTGTATTGGAAACTAGTAACAAACCTACTTATTTCCAACATCTTCTCCAGAGACCCGACTCCCATCAACAATTGTAAATGAACCAATACCTTGGGGGGAAAAAAAAAATACTATGAATAACTAGGCGTTATGAAATTCTCAGATACATTACAAAGAAAATACAGAAGAGATATCTACTTACCTGGCAGCACTAAGTTTTTGAGTATTTCGGTTCCCGTCGCTGTTGCATTTATCACACAAACATGGGCAGATTCTAAAGCTTCTTGTCCATGGTCACCCCACAATCTATATTGGGATGGAAACAGAAACGTTCTGAAATAATTTCATTTCAGATTGTAAAGCCCATAGGGAGAAATGAAAATATTTAAACAACCACAAACGGAGGCTAGCATACCACTTTCCTTTCACTTGTTGAGAGGGGCTAAATAGCACTAACCAAAATAAGCTTTCCTGAAGAAAACTTACTGTGACAAACTTCAAACCTTCTCAACAGCAACACAATCTTACTGATATTCCATTTTCTCCATCTTTATACCCTACGCCATGTGAATGGGCAGACCTTCTTCTTTTGTAACATATTTTAACTTTTTAAAAAACAGCATGGGTCAAAACACTCCTTACGCAATTTTGTCCTAAAACTGAATGCTCTCTTTTTTTGTAAGTTTTACTATAAATAATACATTATTCTAGGTTTTTTTATACTACAAAGACACTGAAACGTACAAGCAGATGGAAATCAGCCTTGATGAGCCTGGTAGTGTATTTAAGACGCCTATAAAATAACATTCAGGCTGAAATCGGGACTTGACTGTACTCGGTCACAAACGCCCCAGTGATTTCACGCGGGCTGTAATTTTACTCTTCAGCTGCAGGTCACAAAGCCACCGAGGAGACAGAGCAAAGCACGGCAACTGCTACCAACGCTTTCACATGTATGCAAGAATGTGAAAATCAACCCCCGCCACACGCCGACATCG